CCAACCAACTCCAACCACTGTCACCATTAATCGTTTCGTACTGCTCACTAGCGCCCTTGTTCCTTTTCTCTATTCTGCTCCAGCCCGAGCCCCTCGGGGCTGTTACAGAAGTAGAGTTCATTTTTTTTTTCAAAAATGAGTTAATAACGCGAAAATTAACCTTTGGATTTTTATTCACCAGCATTTCCAGGCTATGTATGGTACTTGTCAGTTCGACCAAATCTCTGCATCGATTGACGCGAATATTGCGCAGTGAATCGGGCGGTTGAAAAGGCATTTCTGGTGTACTGGCAGCAGCGATATCGCATATACGGCTCGTCTGGAATCCACCCTCGGTATCCACGTACAGAGTTTCGCATTTCTTGTTCTTCTGCAGATTTACCGCTAACTGCATACTGAAGTTCATCAAGAAAAAAACCGGGAGAGAAAGGTTGGTTTTTTTAAACAGAAGGAAACGGTAGGGTTTTTTTCTCTTGGAAGAGAGAAAAGACAAGCGCATGAACTAACTGAATCACCTGCATCAAGGCCTTTTCGATTACCGTCCACCACTTACCTTCCTTTACACCTATCTCATGCAATTCCATTCTTGCTTTTTTGTTTCGTTAATTTCTAAGTTTCTTCATCTGTGGTATTAAAATAATAATAACAACAATAATAATAATGACAATAACAGCAATAATAACAACGATAATAACAATAATGATGATAATGACAGTAACAGCAATAATAATGACGATGATAACAACAATAATAGCAACAATAATTACGGTAATAATAATAATCAATAGCGATAATAATTTGTGCCACAATCATAGCACTGACGAAGTTCAGTTGTGACGCCCCATACTCATCCTCAAATAAAAGGCGAAAGGGTACAGAAAGTAGCCCGATTGGTAACAAGTGCCAACAGCAACCACACGCTGGCTCTCTCCCTTTCTTAGGCTGCTTACAAACAAGTTGATGGCGAGTTTGATTTCCTGACAAGTACAAATTTATCACATAAATGAATGAACGAGTCGCAGAGAGACTGATCATGGGGAAAAGTAAAATTAAATCGACTCAGATACCACTCAATAACTGACAAGTATGCTCAGTAACATATCAGTAATAGTAACTACCCTCGA